AGAGAACTAGATAAGTTCATGGAGGATAGGTCCATCAATGGATATTAGACAAGATGATCAGGGATGCACCCCTATGTTCTGGATGTCCCTCAGCCTCTTGAATGGCAGATGCTGGGAGTGGATGACAGAATGGATCACTTGATGATTGTCCTGTTCTATTAATTCTCTTTGAAGTATCTGGCATTGGCCATTGTAGGAAGAGAGGATACTGGGCTAAATGGACCATTGGTCTAACTCAGTACGATCATTCTTATGTTCTTAGTTTCCAAACCAATTCTGAATATCAAATTAAAGGTGTGCTGACCAATACAGCTTGTGCCTGAAACTGCTTGGGGTACTCTTGTAGCTGTTGTGCAAGTGGTGAGATTGCAAAATTGCATACATGAGTCATCCTTGGTAGTAACATCTCCTAGGACTGTTAATTTTGATGGCTGTAATGCAAAGCTGAATCATTTTGAGAAAAATCTTAAGAGTTGTAAGGTGGCCTGTATATCACCTTGATCTCTAGATTAATTTGATACTAGGGTGTATTCAAATTCATTTTCAGGGGTGAGTCACCTCCTGCGCTGCAGCTTAACATTAAAAAGTATGGGCACATATTGTCCCTGTCCCTGCCTGGATTTATATCTAATGGAGTAACCAGCCGGGCAGAGATCAGCCATATAGCATCATTGGCAACTTCCTGCAGTGTGTCTGCAATGCAGGCATGATCAGGCAGTGCCATTTATGATTAAATAATGATGGTATTTGGCCTTATTCCAAACAGATTATGCACTGAATGTGACCAGAACCTCCATTTCAAATAGCTTTAGTATCCTACAGTGCCCTAGTCAAGGTTGAAAGGTAAATTCTAAACCCCCAACACTTGATCTATATCAAGTTATCAGTCATCTCAATCCTTTGTTGCTACAGAATTTGAAAAACTCCCACACCAGTAACCAATCCATTTCTTGGAACGTTAAGTCTTCAGCAATCAGCATAGTTGTAGTCCATACTCTTGACTAGCACAACATTGTTCCTTTTAGAGGGCAAATCACATCTATTGTCTAAATGGCGAAGCCTCCCAGAAATACTCCCCAAACCAGATTCTACCTATCATCCTGTACACCAGTGATAATCAGAGTTCAGTGGTTCAGGAGCCAAATTAGCGGTCAGCATTACCCAAAAGAGCCACAGTAGTGTGAATTCATTGTTGCATTTACTATAGTACTATATATTCATATTTAAACCGTATGATGGGAAATATTTAGTTTGCTTACATATATAAAATTCTCACAGCAAAATGATCAAGTGTTATTATTTTATCAACTGCAATTGGTTAATAACATAGTAAAAGCGTCCTGATTGGTTAATAACTTAGATTGGATAATTAAATCTCATAGGGTTTTAATATGTGCAGGAGACACATTAAAGGGCCACTTGCAGATTGTGAGCCTTAGTCTGAGTACTGCGGCTACACATTGATTCTTGCAGGAATACAAACTGCCACTTGCTAATCCAGAGGTTTTTTACCTGTTTTGACTTGAGATGAAGGCTATTCATCTTTAACCCACTCAGTTACCAGGGTAGGCAGCATCTACAGATGTTGGAAATAAAGTTAGTGGAGAGCCAGATGAATCTTTTCTGTCAACTTGATTTCAAACACACCTAGAAAAATTAACCCATTGTGTGTGTTTGGTCACATCCCTCCACACACTGATCTCAAAAGGAAAGGAGGATGTAACAGAGTGTAGGGCAGATACATGGAAGTAAATAGAGGGGGGGGGGGAAGCGAATATCCTGCTCCACCATAAACTGCCATGTATGAATCTCCCAGCTTCCCATGAGGATGAGAAAGTAGCAGGAAGCTCTATGCCAGTTCTGGTGAGATTCATCTGGCTCTCCTCTTAAGAGTCATAATTCAAGTGAAAAGCAGGGACTCCTAAAATGTAGGATGGGGATATAGATTCTAGATCTGCCACTAGGTGATACGTTATAATTAGGGCTGTCAAGCGATCAAAAAAATTAATTGTGATTAATCATGTCATTAAAAAAATTAATCACACGATTAATCGCACTGTTAAACAATAATAGAATACCATTTATTTATATATTTTTGGATGTTTTGTACATTTTCAAATATATTTCAATTACAACACAGAACACGGGGCTCACTTTATATTTATTTTTTATTACAAATATATGTGCTGTAAAAAAAAAACCAAAATAGTATTTTTCAAGTCACCTTATACAAGTACTGTAATGCAATCTTTTTATCGTGAAAGTTGAATTTACACATGTAGAATAATGTACAAAAAATAACTGCATTAAAAAATAAAACAATGTAAACCTTTAGAGCCTACAGGTCCACTCAGTCCTACTTCTCGTTCAGCCAGTCACTCAGACAAACAAGTTTGTTTACATTTGCGGGAGATAATGCTTACCACTTCTAGTTTACAATGTCACCTGAAAGCGAGAACAGGTGTTTGCATGACATTGTTGTAGCCGGCATTGCAAGATATTTACATGCCAGATGCGCTAAAGATTCATATCTCCCTTTATGCTTTAACCATCATTCCAGAGGACATGCATCCATGCAGATGATGGATTCTGCTCAATAACAATCCAAAGTAGAGCAGACCGATACATGTTCACTTTCATCATCTGAGTCAGATGCCACCAGCAGAAGGTTGATTTTCTTTTTTGTGGTTCAGGTTCTGTAGTTTCCGCATGGGCGTGTTGCTCTTGAAGACTTCTGAAAGCATGCTCCACATTCGTCCCGCTCAGATTTTGGAAGGCACTTCAGATTCTTGACCTTTGGGTCGAGTCCTGCAGCTATCTTTAGAAATCTCACATTGGTACCTTCTTTGCATTTAGTCAAATCTGTAGTGAAAGTTTTCTTAAAATGAACAACATGTGCTGGGTCATCATCCGAGACAACTGTAACATGAAATATATGGCAGAATGCAGGTAAAACAGCAGGAGACATACTATTCTCCACCCCACCCCCCAAGTTGCTCAGTCAAAATTTAATTAACACATTATTTTTTTAACGAGCGACATCAGCATGGAAGCCCATCCTCTGGACTGGTACTGAAGCATGAAGCGGCACACGAATGTTTAGCATATCTGGCATGTAAATACCTTGCAATGCTGGCAACAAAAGTGCCACATGAATGCCTGTTCTCACTTTCAGGTTTCAGAGTAGTTAGTCTGTATCCGTAAAAAGAAAAGGAGTACTTGTGGCACCTTAAGGACTAAGAATTTATTAGAGCATAAGCTTTCAAAGTGAGCTGTAGCTCATGAAAGCTTATGCTCTAATAAATTTGTTAGTCTCTAAGGTGCCACAAGTACTCCTTTTCTTTTCTCACTTTCAGATGACATTGTAAGTAAGCAGCCGGCAGCATTATCTCCCATAAATGTAAACAATCTTGTTTGTCTTAATGATTGGCTGAACAAGAAGTAGGAGTATGTGGCCTCCTAGGCTCTAAAGTTTTACATTGTTTTTCTGAGTGCAGTTATGTAACCAAAAAAAAAAATCTACATTTGTAAGTTGCACTTTCACAATAAAGAGATTGAACTACAGTACTTGTATGAGCTGAATTGAAAAATACTATTGAAAAAAACTGTTGAATTGGAATTCATTTGCAAATTGGATACAATTAACTTAGGCTTGAATAGAGACTGGGAGTGGCTAAGTCATTATGCAAGGTAACCTATTTCCCCTTGTTTTTTCCTACCACCCCCCCCCCCCCCCAGACGTTCTTATTAAATCCTGGATTTGTGCTGGAAATGGCCCACCTTGATTATCATACACGTTGTAAGGAGAGTGATCGCTTTAGATAAGCTATTACCAGCAGGAGAGTGGGGTGGGGGGAGGTATTTTTTCATGCTTTGTGTGTATAAAAAGATCTTCTACACTTTCCACAATATGCATCCGATGAAGTGAGCTGTAGCTCACGAAAGCTTATGCTCAAATAAATTGGTTAGTCTCTAAGGTGCCCCAAGTACTCCTTTTCTTTTTGCGAATACAGACTAACATGACTGTTACTCTGAAAACTATTTCTTTTGTTTATCATTTTTACAATGCAAGTATTTGTAATAAAAATAATATAAAGTGAGTGCACTGTACACTTTGTCTTCTGTGTTGTAATTTAAATCAATATATTTGAAAATGTAGAAAAACATCCAAAATATTTAATACATTTGAATTGGTATTCTATTGTTTAACAGTGCGATTAAAACTGCGATTAATTGTGATTACTTTTTTTGAGTTAATTGCGCGAGTTAACTGGGATTAATCGACAGCCCTAGTTATAATTTATAGATTTTTATTTGTTCTTTTGGTAAAAAGGTATTGCATGATAAAATGCGTCTGGTTTTTCCTAAAGACTAATTTGTCTACAAATTTTCAGCAGCTAAAGGTATGTTAATTGATACTATGGTAAAGTCTACTATATAGAGAGCTTTGTTTTTGGGGGTGTTTGATTTATTATTCTTGAAAGTACCATAGCCTCTTTGATGTATCATGGAGGGGACCTATAGGATCACAAATTTAAGTAAAGGCTCAGAGTCCCAGATTCATAATTTGCATAAGTGGAAGCGATTTGTTTGGCATCAGTGGAGTTGTTTCTGCTTATACTTGCAGTGAGTTTGACCAAGAACACTCACCTAATGTAAGTAATAGGCAGAATGGGAGACCTGGATTCTGTTCCCCATGCTACCCTGACCTGTTGTGTGTCCTTGGGTCAGTCACCTCTTCTATCTTCTGCTTTTTTCTCTCTCACCCTTTCTGTCTTGTCTAAATTTAAGCTTTTGGGGGCAGGGATTCTCTTTTTTTGTACAGTATCTACCACAGTGAGGCTATGTTCTCAGAGCTTCTAGATGGTATTGAAATAGAAATACTCTATTTAAACTCAGTTGTATTTTTCGTTCTGCACACTTACTAGAATGTGCACATAAAACATATATAGCTAGGAGAATGCATTCAGTTTGTGACACTTCATACTATTTTATTACAGAAATGAATATGTGCAGTATGTGAATTTAATTACTTCTGTCTTCATGGAGGATTGCACACTGTGACAACGTTCCTGAGTTACCTTGGTGGGTCTTGTGCTTATTGGCGGATTTGCTCACCTTGGAGCTTCACGGCAGCCCTCAGCTTGGCCGTTTTTCTGAATTCATGGTCCAGGTCGACGACTCCTGTGTCTGACCAGGAGTTGGGAGGATTTGGGGGGAACCCGGGCCTGCCCTCTACTCCGGGTTCCAGCCCAGGGCCCTGTGGAATGCAGCTGTCTAGAGTGCCTCATGGAACAACTGTGCGACAGCTACAGCTCCCTGGGCTGCTTCCCCATGGCCTCCTCCCGACACCTTTATCCTCACCATAGGACCTTCCTCCTGATGTCTGATAATGCTTGTACACCTCAGTTCTCCAACAGTCCGCATTCTCACTCTCCGCTCCTAGTGCTCCTTGCTCCCAGCTCCTCACATGCACACCACAAACTGAAGTGAGCTTCTTTTTAAAACCCAGGTGCCCTGATTAGCCTGCCTTAATTGATTCTAGCAGCTTCTTGATTGGCTGCAGGTGTTCTAATCAGCTTGTCCTAATTGTGTCCAGAAGGTTCCTGATTGTTCTAGAACCTTCCCTGTTACCTTACCAAGTGAAAATGGACCTACTTAGCCTGGGGCTAATATATCTGTCTTCTGTTACTCTACTATAGCCATCTGGCCTGACCCTGTCACACACACATACCCAATTTAACGTTTTAAATAAAGCTGGTTACTAGAACACAAAAAGTGTCTGAAAATATTTTTGAAGTGTAAAATCTGCATCACTAATGTCAAACCGTTGAACTGACTTTCTCTTAAGTGAACTGCAATGTAAGAATAAATATTAAACCCCAATATTTTACGTTGCATGTCCTCACAAGCTGGACTGCACAGAAATAAACTTTAATTTCTAAAATTCCCTTTTCCTTTCTGTGAAATCATTTTGGTACTTCCTGGTTCACAGAAGGTATCCCAGAATACATCATTCTGTGTTATCACAAATATCGCAGCTTGTGTTTATTTGCAATGAGAACTCTGGTATTTGTGTTGCCCCTTTCTTGGATACGTTCAGTGAACAGGGCGATTCTAAGAGAGTATCAAAGAGGAAAAATAACTTAGTCAAAAATTTCTGAACTGAATGCTTCCTGAAGCCTGATGGTTGAGGACGCTCAACGCACAAATCTGAGCTTAATTCCATTCTGGGTTTGCTCTGCATTTTACCTTTAAACTCTGAAAAAATGACTGAGAATATTTATAACAAATTTACTCCCCCAGGTTTTTTGGGGAAGTTACAGGAGACTAACAATCGAGGCTTAGAATGGAATGGCCATCACCGCCTTAATTTATGGTATAATATTGAAATTTCGTACAATAATGTTGTTACAGTCAAGGACATATCACCCTTTATGGCTGTCTGCACGTTTTGTTTAAGCTTGTGGATTTCCAGAGGTAAAGCATATGGCTAGAGAATCAAGTGGGGTAGGTTTCTGGTCTGTTAGGTAAGAAGAAAATATTCAGAGGTATATTTTCTGTGTAAATGTAGACAACATGTTATTTCTCTCCCCAAGTGATAGTTGAAGTGTAAGGAATGCTATTTCAAATTATACACCACATGGGTACACACACAAAGTGAAATGAATAGTTAAACCATATGCCTTGTAAATGCCATTTCTCTGCTCAAGAGATCTTTTAGACTCTGCAATTGAAGAGCAGAAGGTCTTTTTTCTCATAAGGCCTCTTCAGTCTGAAAATATACTTGGTGGAGATGGCTTCCCGGTGGATTCCTCTAAGTCTTTCAAGGATTTACTAGAATCTCTGCCTGAACAATCTTCATATGTTAGTAATTAAGAATCACTAATTATTTCAGTTCTCGTTAATCTGGATCCAGGCAGAATATGTCATGAACACCCATAATCTGGCTAATTACTGATGAAAACACTTTAGCATAGATTTCAGTATTTAGACTAAGCCTGTTTACTCAGATGATGATTTCTCTATCCTTGGTCAGTCAACTAATTTTAATTTATACAGAGTTTTGTCTTTTGTGAATCATTTAGTAGTGCAGAAGTTTTACAGCCCATTCAGTTATTTTGATTTGATTGATGGGATCTTGTTGATTTAGAACAGATGCATTGGCAGAATAAAAGTAGGGTGGAGATATCTGAAATCAAACTGAAATATAATTTTTGAAGCACGTTGGGTGGGTTCCTATTGTAACTGATTTAACAGAAACCTCACTAAATTGTGATCCCTTGTAATTGTCTAAATTCCATCTACATTAGCTTTTTTGTAATTGTAACTTGTTCTTGGAGTTAGTTTCAGTACCCAGTTTTAAAAATGCTTATGGTTCTTTTCTTTCTTCCTGTAGGCTGCCAATACCATCACTTCATCAAGATGAGTAATAGTCACCCACTCCGTCCTTACACAGCTGTGGGGGAAATTGACCATGTTCACATTTTGTCAGAGAATGTTGGTGCTCTGATGAATGGGGAGGAGTATAGTGATGTTACCTTTATTGTAGAAAAGAAACGTTTTCCTGCACATAGAGTGATTCTGGCTGCCAGATGCCATTATTTCAGGTGATGTATTGCTTCTTGTCAGGTTTAAAGGAAACTTTGTGTATGAAATATACATTACTGAACATGACCTTTCTTGTGTGAGTGCTTCCCAGTGCATCAAAGCATTGTGGCCAACTGTAAAAAGCTGGAAAATGCCATGAGATCATAATGTTTTAGACTTTTATTAAATTGGGCTCTCAATTTACAGATTAAAAAGAAATAAACTTCAGAACACAAATGGGATGATGTAAATATGATGATGGTTTCCTCTGTAAAGTAAAAGTGTAAATACAGGTAACATGCTTGTATCATAGAATCATAGGACTGGAGGGGAGCTTGAGAGGTCATCTAGTCCAGTCCCCTGCACTCATGGCAGGACTAAGTATTATCTAGACCATCCCTGACAGGTATTTGTCTAACCTGCTCTTAAACTCCAATGATGGTGGTTCCACAACCTCCCTAGGCAATTCATTCCAATGCTTAACCACCCTGACAGGTAGGAAGTTTTTTCTAATGTCCAATCTAAACCTCCCTTGCTGCAATTTAAGCCCAATGCTTCTTGTCCTATCCTCAGAGGTTAAGAAGAACAATTTTTCTCCTTCCTCCTTGTAACAACCTTTTATGTACTTGAAAACTGTTATCATGTCCCCTGTCAGTCTTCTCTTTTCCAGACTAAATAAACCCAATTTTTTTCAATCTTCCCTCATAGGTCATGTTTTCTAGATCTTTAATAATGTTTGTTCTTCTCTGGACTTTCTCCAATTTGTCCACATCTTTCCTGAAATGTGGTGCCCAGAACTGGACACAGTACTCCAGTTGAGGCCTAATCAGCACGGAGTAGAGAGGAAGAATGACTTCTCGTGTCTTGTTCACAACGCTTCCGCTAATACATCCCATAAATATGTCCGCTTTTTTTTTGCAAAAGTGTTACACTGTTGACTGATATTTAGCTTGTGGTCCACTGACCCCCAGATCCCTTTCCTTCCTAGGCAGTCATTTCCCATTTTGTATACAACTTATTTATTAAAAATGTTTAGTTTTAGCCTTTCTTGCTGAAATTGCTCATTGCTCATAAACTAGGAAAATATTGTATGTTTAAAAATTGCGTTGAAACTCAGGTCTCATTTTAACACAGCAGATCTACTTACCATTCTTAAAATGTACCAAGTAAAATTTCAAGATAATTCTTCTCTTATATGAATGCCAGAGATGCTAGTGATTAAACTAAGACGTATGTATACAGAATGCACAAATTACCTATCATCTAGAGAAAACACGTTGCAAATTTTTTGATTCTTCTCAAGTCTCATCACCTCGGCCTCCAATGTTGTCCTATGCCATAGTTAGTGGATAGAGCAATGAAATGGGGATTGATACTCCTGGGTTCTGTTGTCAGTTCTGCTATTCTTTCATAGTAAGAGCATTAGCAAGTCATTTCACCTGTCTGTACTTCTGCTTCCTCAACTTTCAGTGGGGCTGTGCAGGTGTCACTAAGGACATAATTTTTTTCTGAAAACTCTTTACTGCTGGTGGTGATGTGTGAGTAGGAAAGAACCTAACTTAACTGTCAGATCCCAGGGTGAATTTTCAGAGCTGAAATTAAAAAACAAACAAAATCCACCTCACATCCTATTCTTTTTACCTGTAAACTGACTAAACTTGATGTAGAATAATTGAGATAATGATGAAGAGACTCCCACAGTGCTATTCCTACGTAGACACTATCAGAGTAGAGCTGAATTTTAAGCTGTCTGCACAGCTTCCGTTTCATATTTTCAAGACCATTCTTTTTCATTTTATGTGGTCTCTTCTGAGGAGCCATTGCAAATATACCTTCATTTATTTTTTCACCTGGCATTTGGATGCTTGCTTTATTTACTTTACTGTTTAAATATATATAATAAGGCACTTATTGTGAGGGTGCAAGTTTCTCACATTTTCTTTCTGTCTCTAGAGCATTATTATATGGTGGAATGAGAGAATCTCAGCCTGAAGCAGAAATCCCTCTTCAGGATACCACTGCAGAAGCATTTACAATGCTGCTGAAATATATCTACACAGGCCGTGCTACATTAAGAGATGAGAAGGAAGAGGTACTCCTGGATTTCCTGAGCCTGGCTCACAAATATGGATTCCCAGAATTGGAGGATTCCACCTCTGAATATCTTTGCACCATACTTAATATTCAGAACGTTTGTATGACCTTTGATGTTGCCAGTCTCTACTCACTCCCTAAACTGACTTGTATGTGCTGTATGTTTATGGATAGAAATGCTCAAGAGGTGCTCTCCAGCGAAGGCTTTCTGTCACTTTCTAAGGTGCGTCTTTGTAAGTTCTTTCAGGCATGTTGGTTGTGGTCTACAAAAAACACTATGATAAAATGCTAATTGTGGTCTGAAATGAAGAAAAGAGAAGCATAGGCCAAGTAATAAGAGACTTTAATAGTAAGGTCAATTAGCAGTGAAATTGCATTGCTGGAGTTACTCAAGTCAAGATGAGATGAATAAGTAATATTTTGTAGAATTCTATAAACATAAACATTGTGGTAATAAAGAGACCCTAAAGATCATTCCTAAATGTAATATCTATTGAGCTAGTCAGTTGTGACCAATTATAAAACTTAAACGTGACTCTTAACAGGACATTGTCAAGGGTAGGAGGAAAATATTTACCTTCTTTTCTTCTGTATGTTTTCTTACATATTTGTAAAGTCTGCACTGTCCTTTAAACAGTGTAGTCTGGCGTTTGAAATCTGGACAAAGTGTACGCAGTAAAAGTTTGGAGGAGGGAGTTGCAAAGATGGCATAAAACTCAGTTTATGTTCATTTTCCTGATTCTAGGGCTCCTACACTCAGGATCATTCTCCAAGCATAAGTTGGAGCAGCCTTTGGGCTGCTGCAGTTTACATCAGCTGTTAATTGTCCCAACGGGCTGAAACCACAATTTTGGATTATTGCAGTGTAGTTATGTCCCTTCCTCTGGTCACACCCCCTACATTGTAGTAGATGTAGTATATGAATGTGCGTAGGAATCTCCGTGGTGGCTCTGTGCCACTGGAGTTCCCCCATGCACTAGAACAGGGTTGGGCAAACGTTTTGGCCCGAGGGCCACATCGGGTTTGCGAAACTGTATGGAGGGCCGGGTAGGAAAGGCTGTGCCTCCCCAAACAGCCTGGCCCCCACCCCCTCCCACTTCCTGCCCTCTCAGAACCCTTGACCCATCCAACCCCCCCCCCCCGCTCCTTGTCCCCGACCGCCTCCTCCCAGGACTCCCCACCCCCTATCCGACTCCCCGACCCCGACAGGCCCCCCCAGGACTCCCACGCTTATCCAACCGCTCCCTGGCCCCTGACTGCCCCCCTCAGAATCCCTGACCCATCCAACCCCCCCGCTCCTTGTCCCATAACCGCTCCCCCCCCCCGGACCTCACTCTTATCCAACGCCCTCCCTGTCCCCTGACTGCCCCGACCCCTATCCACACCCCCGACCCCTGTCAGGCCCCCCGGGCCTCCCACACCTATCCAACCTCCCCTGTTCCCCGTCCCCTGACTGCCCCCCCCAAACCTCCGCCCCATCCAACCTCCCCCTGCTCTCTGACAGCCCCCCGGGACCCCCTGCCCCTTTATCCAACCCCCCCGCTCCCTTACCATGCCTCTGAGAGCACCAGGACTGCCAGCCGTGCCGCCCAGCTGGAGCCAGTTCCGCTGCCCGTGCGGCAGCGTGGCTGCGGGAAGGGGAGGCAGCAAGGGAGGGGCAGGGGGCTAGCCTCTGCACTAGATTTCAGAGTAGCAGCCGTGTTAGTCTATATCCACAAAAAGAACAGGAGTACTTGTGGCACCTTAGAGAGTAACAAATTTATCTGAGCATAAGCTTTCGTGGGGTACAGCCCACTTCATCCGATTTATACAGTGGAAAATACAGTAGGACAATTTTATATACACAGAGAACATGAAACAATGGGTGTTACCATGCACACTATAATGAGAGTGATCAGTTAAGGTGAGCTATTACCAGCAGGTGAAAAAAAAAAACCATTTATAATGATAATCAAGATGGGCCATTTCCAGCAGTTGCCAAGAACGTGTGAGGAACAGTACGGGGGGGGAAATAAACATGGAGAAATAATTTTACTTTTGTAATGACACAACCACTCCCAGTCTTTATTCAAGCCTAATTTAATGGTATCCAGTTTGCAAATTAATTCCAATTCAGCAGTCTCTCTTTGGAGTCTGTTTTTGAAGTTTTGTTGTTGTAATATTGTGACTTTTAGGTCTGTAATTGAGTGACCAGAGAGATTGAAGTGTTCCCTGACAGGTTTTTGAATGTTATAATTCTTGACGTCTGATTTGTGTCCATTTATTCTTTTACATAGAGACTGTCCGGTTTGGCCAATGTACGTGGCGGAGGGGCATTGCTGGCACACGATGGCATATATCACATTGGTAGATGTGCAGTTGAAGGAGCCTCTGATAGTGTGGCTGATGTGATTAGGCCCTATGATGGTGTCCCTTGAATAGATATGTGGACACAGTTGGCAACGGGCTTAGTTGCAAGGATAGGTTCCTGGGTTAGTGTTTTTCGTGGGTGGTTGCTGGTAAGTATTTGCTTCAGGTTGGGGGGCTGTCTGTAGGCAAGGACTGGCCTGTCTCCCAAGATCTGTGTGAGTGATGGGTCGTCCTTCAGGATAGGTTGTAGATGCTTGATGATGCGCTGGAGAGGTTTTAGTTGGGGGCTGAAGGTGATGGCTAGTGGCGTTCTGTTATTTTCTTTGTTGTGCCTGTCCTGTAGGAGGTGACTTCTGGGTACTCTTCTGGCTCTGTCAATCTGTTTCTTCACTTCAGCAGCTGGGTATTGTAGTTGTAAGAATGCTTGATAGAGATCTTGTAGGTGTTTCTCTGTCTGAGCGGCTGGAGCAAATGCGGTTGTATCTTAGAGCTTGGCTGTAGACAGTGGATTGTGTGGTGTGGTCTGGATGAAAGCTGGAGGCATGTAGGTAAGTGTAGCGGTCAGTAGGTTTCTGGTATAGGGTGGTGGTTGTGACCATCGCTTATCAGCACCGTAGTGTTCAGGAAGTAGACCTGTTGTGTGGACTGGTCCAGGCTGAGGTTGATGGTGGGATGGACATTGTTGAAATCATGGTGGAATTCCTCAAGGGCTTCTTTTCCATGGGTCCAGATGATGAAGATGTCATCAATGTAGCACAAGTAGAGTAGAGGCATTAGGGGACGAGAGCTGAGGAAGCGTTGTTTTAAGTCAGCCTTAAAAGTGTTGGCAGACTGTGGGGCCATGCGGGTACCCATAGCAGTGCTGCTAATATATACATTTTCCCAAATGTGAAATAGTTATGGGTGAGGACAAAGTCACAAAGGTCAGCCACCAGGTTTGCTGTGACATTATCGGGGATACTGTTCCTGATGGCTTGTAGTCCATCTTTGTATGGAATGTTGGTGTAGAGGGCTTCTACATCCATAGTAGTTAGGATAGTGTTTTCAGGAAGATCACTTATGGATTGTAAAAAGAAAAGGAGTACTTGTGGCACCTTAGAGACTAACCAATTTATTTGAGCATGAGCTTTCGTGAGCTACAGCTCGATGAAGTGAGCTGTAGCTCACGAAAGCTCATGCTCAAATAAATTGGTTAGTCTCTAAGGTGCCACAAGTCCTCCTTTTCTTTTTGCGAATACAGACTAACACGGCTGTTACTCTGAAACCTGTCATTATGGATTGTAGTTTCCTCAGGAAGTCAGTGGTGGTTCGAAGGTAGCTGGGAGTGCTGGTAGCGTAGGGCCTGAGGAGGGAGTCCACATAGCCAGACAATCCTGCTGTCAGGGTGCCAATGCCTGAGATGACAGAGCGTCCAGTATTTCCACATTTATGGATCTTGGGTAGCAGATGGAATACCCCTGCTCGGGGCTCTAGGGGTGTGTCTAGGCAGCTCTCCAACACCACATTCTACAAGCAATTACCCTCTGATCCCACTGAGGGTTACCAAAAGAAACTACACCATCTGCTCAAGAAACTCCCTGAAAAAGCACAAGAGCAAATCCGCACAGACACCCCCCTGGAACCCCGAGCAGGCACCCTGACAGCAGGATTGTCTGGCTATGTAGACTCCCTCCTCAGGCTCCACACTGCCAACACTCCTAGCTATCTTTGAGACACCACTGACTTCCTGAGGAAACTACAATCCTGCTGGTAATAGCTCACCTTAACTGATCACTCTCAGGTTTAAGCATTGGCCTGCTAAACCCAGGGTTGTGAGTTCAATCCTTGAGGGGGCCATTTAGGGATCTGGGGCAAAAATTGGGGATTGGCCCTGCTTTGAGCAGGGGGTTGGACTAGATGACCTCCTGAGGTCCCTTCCAACCCTGAGATTCTATGATTATAGTGTGCATGGTAATACCCATTGTTTCATATTCTCTGTGTATATAAAATCGTCCTGTATTTTCCACTGCATGCATCCGATGAAGTGGGCTGTAGCCCACGAAACCTTATGCTCAAATAAATTTGTTAGTCTCTAAGGTGTCACAAGTACTCCTGTTCTCTCTGCACTAGAGTGAGCCTTCTGGGCTGGATACATCGATGTTACAATGCCAAGTGGCTACACTGCACCAGAGGATTTAGTCCTAGATGTCTTGTCTTCTACAGTAAATGCTCCCATATTGTTTCATCTGCCTCAAAACTCAGTACCAGTAACCCAGCACTCAAACCAACATACATGTGAAGTAGCAGAATTTTTTTGTAAGAATGCAAGTTTCAGTTTCAAGCTTTCAATGCGTGGTTATAAAGGGATATTAAAATGTGTATGAAAAATATTTCAAGTGCCTTTTACTGTAAAAAATACACTGACTTTTTTGGCAGGTTTAATGAGAACATTTATTCTATGAATAGGGACCAGAGACCTTACAGAGCTAGCTAACTTGGTATCTGGTTACAAAGGAGACTATAATTGCTTCCGCTCCCTTTTGACACTTAAGTCCTCACTGTTAACTGCTTGATGCTAGATATTATATGTCAACTAAGAATGCACTGGGGATAACATCAGTGTAGAATGGAACAAATCAGCAGACTCCATTGACCAGGAAACATGCTACCTCCTTTCAGTAACTGGAGTTTGTGGCATAACCAGTGCTGCAGGAGGACTTCCTTGTTCTAAGGCTCATTCCTACTTATACTGTCTGCAAAGTGAAAATGCAAAAAGTTGTTCAATTCTGGTAGGTTTCATTTTGCAATAGATGCGTGTTTGTGCTTCTGTCCAGGAGATAGAGTTTCGTGAATCTTTTCTGCAGTTACCAGCTTGGCCCCAAAAGAGAAAAGAGGAGGGAAAGAGCTTGGAGTGGGTGATACAAAACCTGCATCTAATTTTCACGCCAGTGATCATATAGCTAAGTTCAGAGGTGTGCTACCAAAATTTTACTTTAGCAGCCCACTATACTGCCAAATCTAAAAATCACCTTTATTTACTCCTTGACCCATCGGAACCGAGAATTTAAAGATATCATTAATTTGAGTGGCTTGAGACACTTACACACTCTAAGCCTAGTTCTGGTGGTGGTAGTACAATCATAACCTATTATGTAAGTAGAAAACCTAGAATTCTTGCATAAGTGATTAAAATGAGTAAAAGCAAGTAAGCTATAACTGAGTACAATACTCAAAATAAAAACTGAAAGGCCAGGGAGGCTGCTCAGTAAGAGTATCATAGTGAGCCAGTAGTGTTTTCGTCTCTGACCAAGAAGGTTAGGATTCAAGTATAAGGACTTTGGCTTATACTTTGATCTGACAGTGCAGGGCATTCACTCCTTTGGGAATGTTGCTCTGTTAGAGGTGCCATCTGCTAGATAGGCATTAAACCAACATCCTGACCAAAATTCCTTTTCTCAGTAAAATACTTCTTAATGCCCTGGCTACATGTAAGCTATTTAATGGCAGTTAATGGCTATGGTGTTTGTCTACAAAGTCACTGTCCCACTAGTATAATCAAGTTTTGAAAACTTTTATAGCTTTACTAGTTAAAGATCTGTTAATTTTTGTTATGTTTTAGACATGAATTTTCTTGGATGTTCTCTACTTAGGCTGCTCTTCTAAATGTTGTGCTGAGGGATTCATTTGCAGCACCTGAGAAGGATATTTTCCAGGCTTTGATGAACTGGTGTAAACATAACCCCAAGGAGAATCATGTTGAAATCATGCAGGCAGTACGCTTACCCCTGATGAGTCTGACAGAGCTACTAAATGTTGTAAGACCTTCTGGATTGCTGTCGCCTGATGCCATTCTGGATGCCATTAAAGTCCGTTCTGAAAGTCGGGACATGGACCTCAACTACAGGGGCATGCTAAGTGAGCATCAGTATTTTTTTAAACTTGTTGAGGATGGACTTTCAAAATGCAACTGTTCTATGGCGAGGGCCCTGCCAAATCCACAGCCATGAAAAAATGTGTCATGGACCGTGAAATCTGGCTTCCTCCTGTGAAATCAGGTCTTTTGTGTGTTTTTACCCTACACTATACAGATTTCATGGGAGAGACCAGTGTTTCTGAAATTGGGGATCCTCACTTCTGCACTGCTGCTGGCAGTGGCTTTCCCTTAAGGGCTGGGCTGCCACCCAGCAGCCTTTGCTCTCCAGCTGCCCAGCACTGAAGGCAGCACCACCGCCAGCAGTCGTGCAGAGGTAAGGATAGAAGTACTGTAACCCCCCCCAATAACGTTGCAATTCCACCCCCTCCCCGGCCCCCGCAACTCTTTTTTGGGTCAGGACCCCTACAATTGTAACACTGTGAAATTTCAGATTTAAATAGCTGAAATCATGAAATTTACTATTTTTTAAATCCTATGACCGTGAAATTGACCAAAATGGACTGTGAATTTGGTAGGGCCCTATGTATGGATTTATAATTTACCAGTAGAAATGGGTGGTATATTACTAATTGGAAAATGCCTATACAATTAAAATGCCTAAACCAACACCATGGGAATGCTTGGGAATATCTGAAATTGCTTTAAGTGAGAGTGAATTTTTTATCTGACCTGGAGGCAGAAAGAGCAATGAAAAATATAACTGGAATAGTTTCCTAACTTTCATTTGCTCTTTTTCTGAAGAATTGCAATGGCAGTGATGACAAACATTAAATGGAAATCAGGAAAATATGTTAACTCCACATAGCCTAGATATTGCTTCAGCATGTAAATTACAGCAGAGTGCATTTTTATCAAAATGCTTAATTTTTCCTCAAGAAAAACCGTTTGCAGAACCTTATATCTAAAAATGAATCAAACTTTAATGCAGACATCTGTCAGATTTTTATTGCCAATTTTGTAATAAAAATAATAGTTTTGCTGTTTAGTTTCAAAATATTCTGTATCTGATTTTTTCTTTTCCCCTTTACATTGTTTGCGCACGTAATGTGTAAAATGAAAATCAGTCCCTGCACCAGAGAGCTTACATTTTAGGTATGAAAAGAGAGGAAAGCATTTCACTTGTGTTTGCTGTAATAGGAACCTGTCTCCACCATTGTACTAGATTATTTGTATCATTTGTGAATTAGGTTTTAACCTTTTACAGTTGGCAAATGTTTTATTAAAACATTTGTGTGCTATAAAGTAATGCTTACATAGCACAGAATATTTACCCTGCAATTGAGAATAATGTTGAATACTCTTAGAGAATATTCTGTATTGTGGTCTCTTAAATCATGCAGGGATGAGCTTTCCATCATGAGAAACTGCTTTTTTTAGCAGCCGTCCCTTCAGATTTTTCACTTTGGAAACTACAGGCCTTACTGACCCTCTGCATTCATGTTGATAGCATTTGATAGCAGGCACCAAAGCACATGATTTCTCACCCTGTCAATAATGTAGCTATTTTAAGAATTGAATTCCTGTAGCTTTTCCTTAAGTACTAAGTTCAAATTAAACTGTAAACTATCATCAGAAAACTATTCACTTCAAAGTATTAAATAATGCATCATGAAATGTGTATGGTGAGCCCACTGAATTATTACTACTTTCAGAGAATAGGCAGATTTCCAGGAACTTCACAAACAGTTCAGGATAGAAAGACAACGGTTGTAACAGATCCATGTACATTCTCTCAAAGGAGAGGCTGCCTTGTTCTACACAAGCCTTCCTCCTGTCAATAAATACCTATGTTTCAGCCTTATGATCTGAGACACCATGTACTCAATAGCAAGCTGGACCTAAATTTTTCAGTAAGCTCCATGGATTCTGCAGCAGCTTCATTTAAATCTTAACAAGTTAGAAAAATTAAATATGAACTTAAGTAATACTGGAAACAGTAGCCTGTTATACTAAGTTCAGTTTATTTTTATGCTGTCCACTCATGTTTAGTCTTCAATATGCTTGTAAATATTTGTATTGACAATAAGTCTATTGTACAAAATTAGTGTGGGGTGGGTCCAGCTGGAGGTTGTGGACAGGTGGATAAAAGACAGGTGGGACTTTTGGCATTTGTGGAAGCAAAGGAGGCTGTTTGTAATTATGGGGGCAGCATCTTAGTTGGGTGTTTCTGCTAACATGTTCGTCAATGAAATGTTTAAAACGTCAACATTTTAACTTACGTTATCTAGGTTTTAGACCTAACACCACATTGAAATGAATGGGAAAATGTACACCCTAAAGCTATTGTCAGCCTGTCTATAGAATCAGGAAGACAACACAGTATTTTGCATTCAGGTCATATTTTCAGCATTTTCTTTGCAATTATGAGGGATAGAAACATGTTAAAGAAACAATACTTTATCTCAACACTTTTCAACCATATATCTCAGTATTTTACAAATGAAGTTAAGGATCATTATCTCCAACTGTGTTGATAAGACTAGATTTTGTGGCACAATTCTGTGGCAAAGGTTGGATTTTGCTGCTTTGGCAGACAAGGGGCCCAAGTTGTAGGCCCTGATTCAAAGACCATTGAGCCAATAAATTCCCATTAACTTCATTGGCCTTTGGATTAGGTGCTCACAGCCCTGAAGCAACCTGAAGGGTTGTGTAGCCACCAAATCATCTCTGCTAATTTGTTTGTGCTGTAAAATCATAACTGGTAAGCAACTCTTTCTTTCCCCTTTTAGTACCAGGTGAGAACATTGCAACTATGAAATATGGAGCCCAGGTTGTAAAAGGAGAGCTGAAGTCTGCTTTGCTAGATGGGGACACACAGAATTACGACTTGGATCATGGTTTTTCCCGGCACCCGATTGATGATGACTGCCGTTCTGGCATTGAAATTAAACTAGGTCAGCCATCGATAGTCAACCACATACGAATACTACTCTGGGACAGAGATAGCCGGTATGTGACAAGTCACCCTGATTTAAGAGAAATTAAAACTGATTATACCCGACCTGCCTCAATGATAAAATATTGAATTATTAACTTTTATTAAGTGCCTATAAATTGCACAGTTTCAGTAGCATATCATGGTTGGGATAGCGTTGACAACTTGAATTTAAATGTTAATGTTTAACATTCGAATAGGCTTATGAGGTTTTTTTGCTTCATACTTGTTACTTATGTAACAAGTCACGTTCACTTTGCAGTATTAAAATGCATAATATTTTAGTCATCCACATGCTTTAAATATATAAAACTCCTTCTTTTACTAATAGCTGCTTAAATTATTCAAATCATTTTAAACAAGTGATTCATTTCTCTCCATTTATGCTGTCTACCTTTCTCATTTGCACTTAGATAATGACACTGGGCTGGTCAATTTCACTTTCTGGTTCTCCTGCAGTGACATGATATTTTTGTGTTTCAGTTCACAATACTGCAAAAGAATTTTAAAATGAATCCTTTTGGTTAAAATAATATCATTTTAATGAAAAACCTTTCTGTTTGTGTTAGGTTTGTGACAGTAACCTATGTGTAATAAAATTGCCCAGATTGGTAATTACCAAGTTATGAATATAGTTCTTAGGGACCTGTTTAAGGAGACGTGTGAAATTTGAATGATCACTGCCCACTTAACTAATATAACTACCCTACCTCATATTTTATTCTTGCTATTTCGTGTTCTTAAAGAATCAAATTGCACACAAGTTTAACAGTTAGGTGACACTGTAACTTTCGAAATTCCAAGCCTTATTTTCTATTAGCAAAAATATATATCAATTTAATATTAGCTATCAGGAAGGGTTTTTTTTTTTAAATTTTATTAATAGTTCTCTAGATCATACAGCTGTTTGCAAATATCTTTATTCTGTTATGCAAGAGGAAAGTTTTCATGCCTTTTGTTTTTCACAGAGTATTACATTTAATATACAACAATGATGAACTTTTCTAAATTGAAATGATTCTGTCAACCTAGTGTTGTCTGCATAGGGACTTAGGTCAACTTAACTACATTGCTCAGGTGTGTGGATTTTTCACACCCTGAGCGATGTAGTTGGTTCAATATTATTTTCTAGCGTAGACCATCCTTGTGTTAAACTATTCCCAGATCTTTAACAATATATAGTCAGTAAATTGTCATCCTGCCACTGGATTTTTGTAACCAACTTTCATTATTTTAGAATAAAAAATATTAACATTACTAATTCTTTAAAATAAACTCACTTATAATCTCAAGTGCAGTTATTGTTCTTTCAGAATAACATATACTGATTTTTTTAGAAGTGATCTGTTAGTTTAAAAGCTAAACTTTTATTGTTGAGCAAAAGTTCCATCAACTCAGAACTACTGGAATTTGTGTTTTTTTTCTTTCTCCCTTGGAAATACCGAAAGTCAACAGATTTAAAGCTTCTAAATAAATACGTTTTAGTCAATGCATAAATGACCAATTGTAACAAGATATGAACCAACTAAGTAAAAAAACAGTAGAATTCAAAAAAAGCTTAGATAAATTACATGGAAAGAGAAGCAACTGTACCTAACTAGGTCAAGACTGATAAAGAAAATCAATGAAAAAGATGTCATGACGCAAAATAAACTTCCATTTTCCAGTTAAGGGTTTCAGGCTGACATTTATGATCTGCTAAATTTTCTCTGATATCTTGTTAATATTTCAGTAGAAGTAATTGCAGTGCTGGTTTTAAATTTAGCTCATCTTATTACTGGGAATTCTGAATTTGGCCATTTTATGTAGTTCTGAAAATATCTTTTAACATATGATGGCTTTAAAAATAAATTTTACTGTAATTTGTAATGCAGCCTCCTCACAGAAGTCTGAATATGGGTTCCTTTTGTGAAAATATATTTTTACATAGACACCAACTTCCAGAAAGCAGGTTATTTCACGAGTATTGACTGCTTCTATTCTAATGATTATTTCTGGCAATCCACAGGTCTTATTCCTACTATATTGAGGTGTCCATGGATGAGCTAGACTGGATCCGTGTGATCGATCATTCTAAATATCTCTGTCGGTCCTGGCAGAAGCTGTATTTTCCTGCCCGTGTCTGCAGGTTAGTTTATATGCATAATACTATATGCGTATCTTTTCAATTCTTAGGCACCTAAATAAGTGGCTTGATTTTCACAGGTGTTGAGCACCCACATCTGATAGTAATTTCAATGAAAGTTGTGGATGTCACTTATCTACAAATATCAGACTAGGTCTGTAGATGCATAAATATGAATTTAGTTGCTGAACTTTAGGGAACCATGTTTGAAAACGTTGGTGCTCTTCTCTCTCTCTAAATATATTTACAGCACAGTTGAACAATAGTTTGCGTATTCTTTTCTCTTCCTCTAGTTATAGTCCAATGAGGTAAGACTCTTAGTATTTTTTCATTCAATAAAAGTAGCACTCAGCAGCTGTGATTTGCTGAGAAATTTGAAATGCTTTAAAATGTTCATGATATACACTGTAAATCTTTTTAATAAATGATCTCTTTTGTATATAAAAATGCAAAGTAAAGTAGTGGAACCATATGGCAAACTAAACAATGATAGCCCAAAAAGGGCCTGTCCCTTCTTGTAGGGCTCTTATGCTTTGGCAAGTAGATTCTTTTCCCCCCCTCCAGGAGACAGCCCTTAGTGGTGAGATGTCCCTGATAATGGAGGGAAAGAGGTCACTGGGCACAGGGGAACCTCATTAAAAAATTCTCGCCCTCCTTTTCCCTACTGCAAGTAGAGCTTTTCTGCAGGAGAGAGGCCATTGTGTTAGGAACTGTACAAATACCTACAAAGACATGGTCCCTCAGTCAAAGAGTTTACAACTTCTAAAAAAGATGGTCCAGTGGCTAGGTGCTAGTCTGGGACCTTGGAGACCTCTGTTCAGTTCTCTACTCTGCACAGATTTCTTGAATGAATTTTAGGGAAGTAACTTAGTCTCTTTTTGACTCATTTTATTGTATTATGGAGATAATAGCACTTCCCTACCTCACAGAGGTGTTGAAGATAATTTTTTTAAATTATGTGGCATCTTGATACTGATGGAGCCATATCATACTTTGCTAAAAGAGAGATTAAAAAGTGATGGAGGAAAGGGATTCAACATACAGGTACGTTTCTTCTTTGAGTGATTGTCCTCACAGATTCCACATGTGGTGCACATGTGCCTCAGTTGCATCAGTGATGCATTTAGACAGGGCCTGAAAAGAGCACTGCTCCCTGGACCAAGGCAAGCACCAATTTATTTTTTCCCCTTTTCCAGACAGAACAGAAAGCATCTTCTAAGACTCACTCCTCCAGAAGTCTTAATGTGAAGTCCTGTACTAATGCCCCAGTAGTGATGGTCTCTTCTCGTTCCATGGAGCGTGCTTGGCTCTCAGCCTTCAAGACGCCTGTTTTCACATTTCAATACATTTGGCTCAGAGAAAGCACCTGAGGTTCCTGGTTGGAACATCACACTCTCAATAGAGGCCTACCCTTTGGTCTTTCCATAGCCCCACAGGTAATCACCAACATGTTAGATATGTGGCTGCCCATCTGAGAAGACAAGAAATCCAAGTGTACCCCCTCCTGGTGACTGGCTGATATGGGGGAAATCCCCTACCATCCCATCTCCCAACAAGTGACCGATTCATTTCAGAAGACACTAAACCTCTTTGTTGATTAGGACTTCAGGTCAGCAAAGAAAAATCCACACTGACCACAATTCAGACCGTGGAGTTATCAGGACACTCTTAGATTCCAAGTAGGCAAGAGTGTACCTCCCTTAACCCAAGTTTCAGATCATGTTCAACCTAATAATAAACTTCAGACTCTTTGATAAGATTACTGAGGACTGGACTCATACTTCTGGGGACACATGTCAGCATGTTGATATGTCATACAGTATGCTGGACTTCACCTTTCGCCCTTTCAAGATTGAGGTTGAGATCAACGTAACTACTAGATAGGCACAGCGTGGATCAGGTGGTCACAGCTCCTCAGGAAGCCCTATTCTCATTGGATTGGTGGATGTATCCAACCCAGGTGTGCAGTTGTGTACGCTTTTCAGTGCTTTAACTAACAAAGACTCTAGAAACAGATATTTGTGCTCATATGGGGAGCCCATCTTAACCACTTGAAGATCCAAGTGAAGTGGTCTGCCCACGAGGCTTTCCTATATACAAACATTCTGGAATTCAGTCTATCTGACTGGCGTGTAGCAATTTCCTGCCCCTCATCTGTTAGACAATACAAGTGTTTAGGGACACCACCACAGTGATGCACTATATCAGTAGGCAAGGGGGAACCAGATCCTCTCCTCTGTGCCAGGAAGCTACACATCTCTGGGACTGGTTCATTCATCATCACATTACTCCAGCAGCTCTACATCACACTAGCAGGCCATCTTAACAGAGACTTATCCAAAAAGCATAAATGGTCCCTCAAGACCGTGGTCTTCCTAAACATCTGTTTCAGATTGGGATTCCTACAGGTGGACAACTGTCCAGGGTTCTGCTCCAAGTGAGGGGTGAGTCTGGGCTTCCTCTCAGACACCTTTCGCATTTTTGTCTACTCCTGGTTTGATGTACACCTTTCCATCAATACCCAGAGTCATGAGGAACCTCAAGCAGGCTGCGGGTCAGATCATTGTGATAGTTCCAGCATGGGCCAGATAGTTTTGGTATTTGGACCACATGAACTTGTCAATATGCAGATCCTACTGGATTTTATCCTGCAGAATAATGGCTGAATCCTGCACCTGGACCTGAAAGTCTGGGTGCTGGCTGGCTGACATTAACAAAAAGAGCTCTTCTTCCAGATGTTGTTTCCACATTATATGTGTGTGTGCCGATGTTTCTGTGATTGGAGACTTTTTTTCAGCAGTGCATGTGGGTCAATCTCACATCCTAGACTCCCTCACGCTGTGGACTGAGCATATATAGGGAGGGGTGGACCTGCCACCATTCCAGTTCCTTCTCAATCACCTGTGGATTGAAACGGAGCATTGCAGTGTTTGCTGACTTTCTAGCTACACACTACTTTTGTGTGTTTTTTTTTCTTTTAGTATCATTCCCTTTTCCAGCAATTTTGTCGTCTTTTCCCAGTGCGAGTTTGTGCCTTCTTTAATTTTTCAGCCCTGGTTTGGGCTCTTCCTATCTATTGGCCCCTTTTTCGACTGTAACTTCCTTTCTGGAGGTTATGCCCCAAACCCCAGAATTCATACCTGTTATAGGTCCTTCCCCCTCTCCCATTGGCATTCTGGCTGCCTCGGAGAGTTCCACATCCCATCAAAGTGCAAGGCCTCTCTGGATTTAAGAGCAGATCTCAGAAACTGACGGAGGACAACTTAAGCTTCTCCTTACTGGACTTCTGGGGTCCCACATGTCCTCTGCCATGCAGAGTATCCCAGTGACCTCCTCATCTTTGGCTTCAGCTCTGGTGAGCAAAGACCTAAGATCAACCTCTGAGACCTCCAAACGGTCTTAAAAAAAAAAAGGAGGTGGGGGGCGCTCAGTCCCCTGATGAGAACTATAACCACAGGGAAAAGTTGCCTCAGAGATTAAGATCTAAGGAAATCTTGCATCCTGCTCTGTGTACTGTTGTGGCTTTAGTTTCCTTTGTTACCAAGAGCCAGGAACTGCCAAAAAGGTCTGCTACCATTCTGCATACCGAGAAGTCTCTCGGTAGGCAGTCCCGTTCAGCACAGTTCTCAGGACCTTCAGAGCCCTCCAGTCACAAGGACTCAGAAGAAATTTTCAGGCCCCAGACTGTTTCCCCTTGGAGCCCTCCAATCACATGGACTGTTTGTCCAATCTTCACCACCTTTTGAGGGCTGTAAGCATAAATTGCATGTGGGAAGATGTTCTTGTCAGTATTGATATATGCAACATATCAATCAGAACTCCTGCTCCTGCCCATGAAAGCTCAGTCACTGGTATCAATTCAGATGCCACTGCCTACCCAACTGCCAGTACTCATTCGACCACTGGTACCGATTTGACTGCTGGTTCCAACACCTTGAGCTCCTCCAATGGATGCAGTGGAGGACATGTCTTCAGAATCCAGCATCTTTATCCATGATTTCCTTCTCTTTCCAACCTGCATCCCCAGCTATGAGCCCTGAGGAGGACATTCCAGGAACCAGTCATTGCCAACCCTGGCAGGCAGTATTGGGGTCCTGCTCCATTCCCTTATGTCCCACCACACTGGACTTGATAGAATCCTTAGGCCTCTCTATGGTGACCAGTTCTATGGGGTGTCTTTTTGTAAGTGGGCCCATCAAGATGAGTCTCTTCTCCAGGCAGCCTCCATTATCAAGAAAACTTCAAGGAGAAATAGCAGCCAAGAGCTAATGAGGAAGTATCTCCTTCCAGCAAATCCTAGTCTTCTCTACATGAAGCTATCAGACCCTCTCTATGATCCTATGCAATTGAATTTAAAGTTTTTCAGGACTTGATGAATAGTGTAGCCAAGACCTTATAGGTTCCCTTGGAGGAAATACAGGCGCTCCAATGCTCCCAAGTGGATATCCTCCCCACCACATCTCGAGGCAAACTAGCACTGCCTGTCAATGATGCTGTCCTATAATCAGCCCATAACATTTAGCAGATTCCTGTCACCATTGCACCCCTGTGTATGAAGGCTAATTAAAAAAAGAAAAATTCCAGCCAAGGGCTCCAAATACCCTTTTTCTCACCCTACTCCCAACTCCTTGGTGGTGACTAGTCAACATGACATTCACTTGAAGAGAATGGTTTCTTCCCTGCTGATCAGAGTCCTACTTCTATGGGATTCTTATCAATGAAGGAACAGAATGCGTGGTTTGGGCAGGGTGAACACTTTACGCTCTCAGCTCTGGAGTGCAAGAGGGCATTCAGGATGCAGGCATGGTTCTAATGAACAATGATTTTCAAAAGAATCTGATCTTGCATGCACAGGATGCGTGAACTCCAAGAGTGGGATCTCTGTGGACGACACATCACAAACCACAGTTCCTGTAAGGCACATAACTGTTCTCTTTGTTTTGTTTGATGTATATGTAAAGGGAGAAGAAAAGGATAACTTAAGCTAAATATCAGGGTAAAAT